GTTGAAAATAGCTAAAGAACCTCCAAAATGAAAGAAGCTGCTAAATTTTAATTTTAGAGTAATAGGCAGAGAATAAGCAGGTGCTCAAAGCTGGCAATTAGAACTCTCACACACCTTTCTTGCTTGTTAATATTTCTTTTTTCTTTAAATATCAGGATTGTTTTTCAATATAAAATTGTTAATCCAAAATGATATTGTATATTAAAATGTTTTGAGTATTACTTGTAGCAATATCAATCCAACTGAGGAATCCTTATACCTATGCTTGTCTATTGATTATTAACACAGCTGAAACATTCATTAAGTGCTGGTTCATAGCAATAGGACTATAACCATTTATTGGCTAATATAACTATGCTGAAAGTATCTATTATATGTAGTCTTATTTACTCCAGATACTACCTAATTTACCTTTCCATACCCCTAAACACATATAGTATCTGTTTATATATTTAACAAGTCAAACAGGTTAAACATCAAATATATAACAGGTTAAATACCAAAAATCCGAAGCTCTGGGGTCCTGCTCAAGTTTGAACAATGTGCTCAGAACAGTGTCTGATATGTACTTCACAAAGTTGGTGATTATTACCTTACTTTGAAGACATTCAGAATTATGAAATCAAAACTTGAGTTTCTGTATTAGCAGAGCTCTAAATCCACTCTTTTGTTATTATAGAGAGTCATCTATATCCGAAGAGCCTAGTTGATGAAGACATTTGATGTATTTATTTGACTAATGGTACTTGCACTTCTCTCCAGGCTGGACTTTTTTGTATGACTACAATTAAATCTATGTACTAATGGAGAAAAGGAATGAAAATGAGATTTTTGTTCTTTTAACAGCAAAAAAATAAGCACTTTTTTCAGGATTTATGGAAATGTTATAGGGGAGAAGCACAATGTGTGAGTCAGTGTCGGTAGCATGAACGTGGGTAAAGTTTGGATGGTTCAACAGTAAAGACCAGCGGATAAAGTTTATGCACATGTTGCAGTTCCAATAAAAATTCCAACGGGCTTCACCTTTGTCAAACTTCTTATAGAGTGCTCTAATAATATGAAGTTAATAGATCTTTGGTAACCATTAAACATCTAAATTTCAATGCATATCCACAAAAGGCACTAGAAATCCTATGTGCTACAACTCACATCACATTGAATAAAGAGAAACTTCTCAAGCCTTAAGAAAACCCACCATAAATCCTATTGCTCTGGGTTAATGCCACTAAACTAGCTTATAAATTGGGAAAACTACCTTGAATGGTTAACTTTCCAAGCATCCCCTTGGGCAGCCATAAATAATTCAAGAGGAAAAGGAAAAAGTCAGTGAACTCAAGTGGGAAAGAGAACTTTCTTTTGGCTGAAGCAGGGTGAATAATGGTTATCACCTAAACCAGTGAGCAGATATTGCTCTGGAAGTTTTGTAAGGGTTGCCATTTCTATGGTCATGGCATGAAAACTATACCCTATGTTCTAATGGGGATAATCACTCAGAGAAAAAAGGCTGAGTTGATTGTTCTAATACCTGTTTACCTTGACTTATCATCCTGCAGGCTGGGATTTCATGATACATGTTTACCTCCAGCCTTCAAGGGAAGGGATCTCTTGCTACAATTCTTACTTTTGCACAGGCATAGAGAATTCATCAGATGCTTCCCTAATAGCTAACTTGTTACAATCATTGTTTTGGTGTGCCCATCCCAGTTTATCGACAGTCCATGTACTCTAAATATGTGTGTATATTTGGAGTCAAAGTACAGACTTCATTCCAGATGACTATATGTAAATACAAGCCACAAGCTGGGCATGAGTTCAAGTGATTCCTCATCCTCTCTTGGGGAATGTGTTCATTAGATTTTCAAACTTTAGCATAACTAACAATTATAGAGCGTGAATTTTGGTTCATTAGCATAATGGACTACTATTGATCTTTTGACAGGAATCGTGTTGTCATTGCTTCCAAAATAAATGTCTGGTATTAAAAATAAGTGAAAATATATCACAAAGAATATTAAGATGATACATTGCAAAATATACAAGCAAATGCAAATTATGACTCTTAAAATGAACCCTGAAATGCCGACATATAAAATTATGAAATGCCCCTTTTTTATACCAAGTAGTATTTGGGCTTTCAGAAAAGAGAAAACCCCTTCTTGGCCACTCACAATGTGCCAGGAGTCCTTTATATTTTTACCATTTAAGCTTCATAAGAAAACTATGAAATAGATATTGACAGGAAGAAGATGAGGCTAGAGAAGTGAAGGAGATAATACACACGATTTTATAGTGGATAGGACTATTTGCCAATAGATCTGCCTCTATAGCTTATGTGCCTCTAACACACAAGGAAGGAACCAAATAAAACTTAATCCATGTACAGCATTCTATGCTGTATTCCTCTCTCTAAGTTTCTCTTCTTCCAAATGAGATCCTTATTGCCTATTTCCCAAGGGAACTATGTGAAAACTATAAAGGAACTTGCACACATTGGCACCAGAGATATGCTGTGGCTGGGGAGAAATTTGAGGTACTCTGAACACACATCAAATACACAGCTACTTCCTGACCTTACATCCAAAATCAGATTTTCCATCGCAGGAAAAGTTGAGATCTTGAAATAAATACAAATGTAAAAAGAGTAACTAATCTTCCCAAGCCCTCTCCAACTTAGTAATATATAAGTCAAATAATACCAGCCATTAGTACAGAACTATGATTATTGTTGGAGTAGTGTATACCCTGAGAACGAACCCTTTTGGATATTTAGGTGGAGAGGGGAAAAAAGCACATTTCATGATCCAGGCTAACAGTGAGGATACTTAAAACAAGGTGAGAAAATCCAAGTCCTACACCCTTATAATCCACCAGTTTTGATATTCTTTTAACATCAGACCCTTGTGTGCCACAGAAGGGTGGAGAGAGCCAGGTTCAGTGGCCAACCATTTTTTTCATTTACCTAATATTTCTAAATGACAATCATCTTCAAATGGTTCATATATGTACATCAGTGACACAACAGAAAATAAGACAGTGCACTGTCTGTCACATAATCAGTTCAGGTTTTAGCTTCACTAATGCCATGGGACATCTATTAAGTTCCACCCTGAGTTTCTTTAGCTTTTGCTCTATAATAGGCATTTTAACCTCCCTCAATGTGGACAAACTTACACAGATAATAAATTAGTTGGGGGAATCTTTTAAATTATCACAAGTTTCATATTAAGTGTTTTAATATAGATCATTATGAACAAGAGAGATTATCTTTATTTTAAAAATATATATCCAAAAATGGAGATTGAAAGTTTCAAATTATCAACAAAGAAATGTAACAGAATGTGGAAGTCAGAAAGACACTGTAAGTGATCTAAATTGTTCTAATCCCCCCAAGGATCTTTTTGTCATCAATATGCACTTATTTCTACTTAGTTAGAATCTCAACCTGCCTACTGGCTGTAACAAAAACTATTCAATTAAAATATTAAATTTGTCCAAAAATCAGAATGTATATCAGATAGAAATTTAAATCACAATAACATCTGCTATTTCCCACCCTAAGTCTCTTCCACTGCTGCTCTTGGCATATTGCAAGTTTCTAGCTCCCTCATGTGGTTTAGTTGGAATGGTTTCATAGGTATCTGGAATCAGATGCTTGAAACAACAGCAGAACAACCTATAACTCAACATGGAAGTTCTGCTGGCATCATAAATGAAGAAAGAAAACTTCAAGTCAGCAAAATTCTAAGATGAATGTAGAGGCTCAATTCTTAAATTATTTGCTATCTACCGTTCATTTTATGTGATCTCTAAAAAGGATGATTTATGGACAACTAAAACTGGTTTCTTTGTCTGATAGAAATCACCAGTCTTCAAAGTCAAGCATTTAACAGGGCAATTATTGAATAGATTTATAAAAAACACCTAATTTTGCTGCAAAAGAAAAGCAGTTGTTTTATTGCCCAGTTGGTGCACCCCTCAACTAGGCAAGTCCAGCCACCCAATTACTTCTCGTAGTTCCAAAGTAGATGAACAATGCTGGATTTGAGATTGTCCGGTGTACTCAACAAGATTTGAAGTAATTAAATTTTCTACATTTTCTCCAATCATTTGAGAATGATTTACACACACACACGAGCACACACACACACAAATTTTCTTTTCTAAACATATCCCAAGGCTTGCTCTTTCCAATAACTTTGTATTTCAGAGCTCTCTTAGAGGGGAAAAGCTAAAAGAAGACCATACTGTCTTTCTTAATTTGATACGAAATGCTCCTCTTATCTTGGATACATGGTTAAGACCCACAATAATTTTATAAGGTTCAGGTGCCTCAGAAAAGTCTTCTTGTGGAAAGTAAGAAAGTAGATTTTAAAACACTAATATTATTGGAATATTCTCAACAAGAAAAGAAATTTAGAAATAATTGGCTATGAAGGGAATAAAAATGTAAATTTGTGAGAGGTGAAGAGTCTACTAACAGAAACCTGAATGAGGCTTATTTTTATGCTGACTTGGATGTCCCACTGTTTACAATATCAGTAGAATCCAAGAGGAATGTCTTTCTCATCAGAAAACCCCAATGTGTAGGCTGATATTAAAATTCAAAACTAGACTTCAAACTTTAAGAGAAAAATTATAAAAAAGAGCTATTATTCATTTCTTTGCTGATTGATGAAATTGAAATCTAGATGATATTTGGTATTAACAACATACACATTCATAAATGTATATCATAAATGTAAATTCAAAAGACCTAATAAAATCATCACAATATTTGATAGTGAGAGTGGGGATAGAAGATGATTATAAATATTAATAGATATCTTTGAAAGATAATATTTGAAAACTATCATTTGTCTTCTGGTTATGATGACTATTTCCCAATGCTGATACTATTTACTCATTGAAACAATCTTGGCTAAATGCTTAAGGATAAGACAAAGTTGATTCAAAAATTGCACAGAAGATATCTGAAGTGAAACTGAGCAACACTGCCTTACCTATTGAGCCCTTTCAGTGTCTTTTCCATGTTTAAAATATCACGCATCTTATACAAAAACCACTTGTCGATGGATGTGAGCTTCTCAATTTCATCAAGGGACACGTTTTCTTCCATGGCCTGACAGAGAGAGAAGAAACACTTTCACTGGCAAACAGTTTTTTGAATGCCTTATTTGGTTGGAAACATACAGCAGCCATTATTATTTAGAATAAAACATGAAATTGACGTCACTGATGTTGCTTCCAATAAACCTAAAGATACTGCCAACTACATCTGCAGATGGCTTCAGAGGAAGGACCTTCCTTGAGCTGTCAGAGTGACGTGCTCAGTGGAGTCCCAATAACAGATCCTGCCTCCTGTTACATATATCCTACATTTGACATCTCTTTGGAATAAAAGAGAATCTCTTGAAACTGAAATTATGCCAAATTGTTTGCTAAGAAAATCTAAAATCAACGTAATCATTATTTAGCTGGTATTATGATAGTTATCCTTCAGCAAATAGTCTATTTTCATTGCCATGTTCTATTTTCAATTAGACATACAATAAGCCATGAGAATCCATGGGTTAGATCTGAATTGGCATTATTTCTTTAGAATATTTCTTCACAATGGACTTTTAACAGAAAATTATTTAGAATCAGTTACCATGACTTTTGTGCTCAGACAGGTATTTTTCAAAATACTAATAAATTTCAAAATAATGTTATAATAATTTATGATCAATTTGATACAGCTTAGCCTTTCCCTCAAGCTTCCTTTGGCACTTTCTCAAGAGTAAAGTTATAAAAAAAAAAAAAATAAGGCCGGAGATTTAGCTCTGTGGTTCTGCCACCTGCCTTGCAAGCATAAGCAGAGTTTGATCCCCAGTACTCCCTCAAAAAAGAGTAAAATTACAACCAAGTCATCAAGCTAAGCAGAAAATACTCCTGAAAGGAGAGATAAACTCCCAAGACCAAAGCTCTCAAACTCAAAAGAAGTTTATTCTTATTATTTCTGTGAGTGTATATATAGATATATGTACATATACAGATATATCATATAGCTATATATGTAAATGTCTATACACACACTGTGCCAATTAAGTTGGATTGTCAAGTTGATTGGCTTGGGAGCCACCCAGTGGATTACAAAAGATACTTCTGAATTTGGGTGGATCATGGTGGCATCACATTGGGTACTGTATCTGATACTTCACCACTTCCTCAGTGGTTCTGCTCCTCTGCTTCCGGGCCACCATGAACTATACATCCTTACTCTGACGCACCCTCCTGCCATGATGTTCCTGCTTAAAGCCAGGCCACCATGGACTGAAACCTCTGAGACATGAAGCAAATAAACCACTTCTCCTTTAAGTTGTGGATGTTGGGTATTTTATCCCAGTAATGAGAAATCTGGCTAATATACACACATATGTATGCCTATATATTCCCAATGAAAATAATAGTTCAAAGCCACTATATTTTGGAATGATATCTTATATTTTTAAATCCCTTTAAGAGACATGTGCAACTAGAAGCTCTGCTTTTAAATTTCAACCAGAGAAATTTAGTTTTCTTAAATCTTTTACTTAGTTCTAATTATCAGAGAAACCTCAACTGTAAGAGTTGAGATACAGCATGACTCACAATACTATGGGCTAGAATAAAATGACATTAACTAGGAACACCTAAAATCATTCATTTCCTATGTCTAATTGTGTTTCTTTTGTTTAATTCTTCCTGATATTAAGGGCCTATAATTTATCTTATTTTCTAATTGACTAAAGGAAAAATTAACTGTTGCCATCAACACTGCAAGGTAGACTGAACCTCAAGTTACTTATACATTCAAGAGGTCATGTGAGGTTTTCATCCAATTATGCATAGGGAAGGAGGCCTCAAAATCCTGTTGTCATTTCATTGTGAGGAAAAACAGCTCAGTCACGTTTACAGCTTTTGACAGGAAGAAAGATCCTGCCCATCTCTCAGGACCACATCTTCCTGCACTTCAGCTTTGCCATGTTACACCACTGTAATGAAGTCCATAATGACCCCAAACACGTTTGAGGTTACTTTAATGTTTCCGAACTCAAAACTAATGCTTTGCATTCTCCCCAAATCAAAAGAGGTGATGATCCAGTCATCCTGAAATAAGGCCGCTGAAAAAAATCAGACCTCAGAGCAAGTTGCCCTTTTCTGAGAATCATGAAAGCAAGGGGAGATTTACACAGTCCCTTCATTCTTTTCCCCCTTCAGCCCTCCACAGTCCTTACACTCTCTGTCAAATCACCCAGTTCCTGGTTGCTGTGGAAATGAACAGTAATGATGACCTCTAACAAACAGAAATCAGTTCCTTCTCCCGGCACTCTGGCAGACAATAATTTATATTTCAGACTCTGCACTTCGTGCTTGTACATAGGGTACTCTGGGCAAGAGTGAACCTCCACATATTTGCCCTGAATTCTCATCCTTTATAAGTCTGTTAGAAAAGAATGAGAGATCTGCTTGAGTTTTACAGCCTAGCTGGGAACTCAGAAATGCTTTCCTTTTGCATCTGCCTCACGGTGGAAGAAACATGATTGGCAGACTTAAGGAAAAATATCTATTTACTGTACTTGACCTGAGGAAAAAATTGTGTGTGTGTGTGTGTGTGTGTGTATTAATACATCCACAGATACACATGTGAATATCAGGGGTTACTTTTTAAATGAATGACTAAATAAAATAGGAAAAATAAATTTTAATAGGAGAAATGGCTTTCTAGAATAACTTTTCCCCACTGTTCTCCTCCCAACACCTCAGACAAATGTTAATTTTGAAATTCAACATTGAAAACATCTATCAAAAGATAACAGTATCTACCAGGATTTCAATGGGACTTAAATATTCTAAATTTAAAAGCCATAAGAGTGAGGAGAGTACATATTAGATTCAGTGAAGGAGACATCCTTTCCTCTCCTTCCCTTCTTGCCCCAGGAGTCTCAACATATGGATATAAAAATTACAGTGAATTCAAAATCAAAAACAGCATTTTTCTTTTGCTACAAAGGCAAATTATAAAGTTGGATTTCTTCTCTAAACATAAAATTCCTATTTTCCCCAACTCAAACCATATGCATACATACACATAAAACGGTCAGCGGGGCTTGTAGAACCAGTGTGGTTTGATATTGTTGGAGGATTAATGCCTGCGCTTCCTTAAATGTCAAAAGCCATTCAGGGATTTCTGACCAGACAGATTCCAGCTGCCCAAGTCACCTTTCATAAAATCAGATGAACTGAAACTTCAAAACTCTAAGCACAGTAAATATGAAAGGAGATTAATAAGCCACATAATTTGCATGAAAAGGAAGAAGTGGGTAGAAGTGAGAAAATGTGAGGCTTTTTTGTTCTAAAATAATACCAATAAAATAATTACATAGAAAACCCTGTCATCATGGAGGTTCTTTATAGTCTGCTGCTGTTGTTTAAATACAGGGGGGGAAAAGCAAATAAATTAAAATTATGGTAAGGTCTTAGGTAGCACATACTAAATGATACTGTCATATGTTTTCTTTTCTAAATACAATTTTACACATTTTCAAGGAACACGTAATGGAGATATACAAAATGACAAGTCAATATTGTCAAATCTACTTCAGATTATTGTTACTACACACACTAAAAGGAAGAGACATTTTATTTATGTAATAACCTTTTAAAACTGCAATGTGCCATTAAGTTCAAGCTTATAGTAAAATTAAAAAGAATATTTGTTATTAATTATAGAATATCTGATGAAATCCATAAAGTCCCCGGTCTAAATCACTATTGAAGAGAATTTTTTAAAATTTCCTCAAATCCTTGAATTTCAATATCACCGTGTGATTTTATTTTCCTCTAAAGTCCATGTTGAGTGTATTCTGAAAGAATAAATAATAGTTGCTCTCAGCCTCTGGTCATGTATTACCTTGGCGATGGCATAGATGCGAATGCTGGATGGGTCAGAGAGCTCTTTCTGGAGGTCCAGGTTAGACGGCCACTCTTTGTTCATTGGGAGACGGGGAGTGAAACCATCTACAGATGGATGACACATCCGTAGAGCCTTCTGGAAACTCTCCTCGAATGTGCGACCAATAGCCATGACCTGTAACGTGCATTTAAGGTCTCATATTGAAAGAGGGAACTCATATATTTTTAATTTGTAACAGAATTAGATGTAGGATATTTTTCATAAAAACTTAAGAACAAAAAAATATATGACAATACTCCTCAAATTTTAAGGTATTGCTTTTTAATTCCTCACTCCCTTTCTCTGTGGTTTTAGTGTAATGAGTCTTTCACATTATGTCAGTTAGAGAATTCAGCTGTATTTGCTAGAACTGATGAGCAAATTGTACTTGCTCTGAGCCATAGTAGTATATTAAAATAAAGACTATGTGGCCAGAGCATACAGACCCTTCCTTAATAGGTTCTTGCTTTTATGCTCAGTTTCTTTATTATAGAAAGCGAATAAAGAGAAATCAGACATTTAATAACACAAAACAGAAGTATTTTAAAATGAGTATCAGTCAGTGATCATGATGGTTTGGCTTTCTTTATAGCTAAGCATTAATACTAACAAAACCTTGAGAATCATAACAAATACTGATAGGTTATGATTTTGAATGTAGATGGAGACTAAATTCCCCATGACAAATTCAATTTATCTTCCTACAATCTTTACAGCTGACTGTACACTAATCAATTAGAAAAACCATGTGGTGAGTTGGTTTGAACAAGTTACAAGTCAGAACTAAACTTAAAGTGGCAACCTGTCTAGTTATTTTCATTGGATAAAAATTGTCTTTGAATCTTTCCAGGGACTAATATATTGTTATGCATGTTTGCTCTCTAACTTAAAATAATAACAGCCATAATTCTGCCTTCAGTAAACTTTGGTGATTCCTCTAATAGATTCCAATTCCCATTAGTGTCAGTTTAGGAAATCTTCATGTCAATTGTGTGACAAGATACATATTCAAAGATCACTAAAGCCAAACAGATAACCTTTCCATGCTGCCCCCAAATTTAATTAGAAATAAAGAAAGATTCATAAAATCAAAGATAAACAAAACTTTAGTCTAGTTCAGATATGAAATTTGCAAATCAGAAGAATCTTGAAAAGTTAGACAATATATTTATGTATTGTCTAGTCTTGGCATAAAAGAGACTGTCAGAAATTAGATATTTTATGATGCTGTAAGATAAATAAAAGGTTTTGGAATATTTAATAAAATTTGAAGTATTACATATCCAGAATTTAGCCTTAAAGTAACTAATTCTATAAGTGACTTTCCACATTCACTTATTATTCTTTAGCATACAATATATGGAATCCAGTCAATAAAAAAGAAGAAACCACACCTATATAATGATTAAAGTATGCATAATTGTGTTTGCTCAAAATCTGTGCTTTTAAGTACTTTATGTTATTAAAATTCATTTTAATTAAGTGAAAATTTCACCATTTTTCAGTAAAATATCATGGTCTTCCTTAACTTATCCTACTACATTCTCATAGCACCTATGCAAAAATACTGTATTTTAATTTTTGTCACAGAATAATTCATATTAGATTTGATTCTGTGTATACATTTTGAACTTACCAACTATAGCTAATGCATCATGATCATCTAAAGTTTATTGTTTTATCCACTCAGAGTCTTGCATGTGGTGAGAACTCAGGAAAGGTTTGATGACTTGAGTTGAGGCAAATGTAAGGTGTTAAATATCCACTGATCACAAAAATTTCTCAGATAATAAATCCCAAATTTTAAAAAATTACAAAATTCAAATTATTTAGCCTGAAAGTTTTACTGTGAACTTTATGAAAAAGAACATTTCTCATGAAGTTTAAGCTAAATAAAGTTATTGTTTGGCTGAAACACAAATGCTACCAAAGCAGGTTTTCACACACTAGAGCTCTCCTCCTCCTTTTGTGTCCTGAAAAGTGCGATAGCAAGATAAGATTAAAATGACTATGGAGGAGGAAAACCCACTACGTGGTGTTTCACAGCAAAACCTTTTAATTTAAAAGGTCCAGTTGTTTCTTATCTGTCATTATTTTAAAATCATTAATACCTTGGAAATTAAGGAAGCCAGAATAGTAATAATGCTGGCTTTCATGTGTGACTACGATAGACCAGTGAAATGCCTCCTTTTTCCTTCTCCTCAAATCGGTGATGGGTTTACACTGTTTCCTGTGACTAGTGGCATGTACGATAGTTCTGAAATAGCTACTTTAAGTTTAGTCTATAATCTTGTGTCATGGAACAAATGAAGGCCAGTATGGAACAACATATCATAAATTATCTTTTTCTCTACACTCTAGCCAGCATGGATACCTAAGTATAGATTAGATAGATAGATAGATAGATAGATAGAGGCAGATACAGATTCATGCATATTTCTGAAAAGTACTCAAAAATCTACCCTTACATAACATTTATGAATATAAATTGATAACTAACAAGAATGGGTTACATTTGAGGTATACTATGAATTTCCCTTCAAAAACATTGCTAAACCCTTTACACACAGTTATCCTAACCTTGTAAGAACCCTGCAAGGTAGGTATTATCATAAATTTCTTAGATGTGAATCTTGAGGCTCAATGTCTTTTCTGAGTGTCTCTAGCCAATAAACAGCAACCAAGATTTACACTCAGTCCATCTGACTCCAAGACTCATGCTGTCTGCAAATCTGGATACAAAGAGAGAGAAGCTTGGTATAGACAAGCAAGGGAGTGAATGTGAGAGTCAAGGAGCTCAATTCCTTTCTTTCCTCCCACAAAGAAGAATGTTGTATCTTTGAACATGAAATAATAAAAAACTAACTCTAATTTTAAATAGTAAATCAAAGGAAGGTCATGAAAAATCTTCTTCTAAAGGTTCTCAAAGCTTAGAACTTACCACTAGTTTAGAACTTACAACTATAAAAGGAGGCTTAATATTCTATTCTGCTCCCCTCAGTTTACAACTTTTGAGCTGGACAGACCCTGAGAAATCATCCACACTAGGCTTCTCCTTTATAAATGTAGAAAATCAAGGTCCCAAGAGATGAAAGCCACAGTTCATTCTAATTCTTAATTCTCAGTTACTACTCTTTTTGATATACGATATTGTCTTTTATGTTATTTTACTTTCTTGATTATAAGACATTGTAATTCAATTATATTTAAATGAATGTAGTTTTATATATGTACATGTATAATATATATCCCCACATGCATGGCCTCATCTTTTGACCAGAAAGACTCTGAATTTAGCAAAATAGCTATGGAACAAATGCTAGAAGCCAGCACTCAAATAGAGATATGTTAAAACACCAAGGCTCTTCAATGAGGAATGCGGTGTCTAGGCAACTTTAACATTTCCAGTGGTGTTAAGATTGAAAAAAATGATGGAAAATAAAGACAAAATAAGCTATAAACTAAGAGCTCACCTCTCCTACACTTTTCATAGAGCTGCCAATTCGGCTAGAGGTTCCATGAAAACGGTCAAGGTCCCAACGAGGAATCTTGGTAACCATGTAGTCCAGGCTAGGTTCAAAGCAGGCTGATGTCTTCCCAGACACAACATTCTTGATTTCTGGAAGTGGGATTCCTAGGGCAATCTTTGCTGCAATGAATGCTAATGGGTAGCTATAAAAAAGACAAATTTGTTTTTATTTTTGCTTTTCTTTGAGCAATAAGTATTGAGAATAGCTCAAAATATAAATTGATCTTTCTTTAAAATTCTGGTATTATTCTAGTTTCATGTGTAATACACCTAATTCTCTGCTCTGTATAAATATTTAATAGCTATTTACAAAATGATGTAAGTCAGGATAAAGCAGAGAGGGACTGAAGAATCTATGCTCTATGCTTTGCATGCACTACTATAACTCTCATCCTTCACCTCTTCAATCCAAAATCAATGGATTCCATGATAAATAAGGTTTAACCTCTACTGGTATTTGGCCTCCACCCAGATGTGAATCTGGAAAATATTCTTTTGAAAAAAATATCTACCTGTATATATTTCTGTATCGAGAAAGACAGTATAGTTAGCTGTTACTAGAGAGTATTTTAATGGTCAGAAAATGTAGGCATTGGAGATTTGGGTTCTGGTTCTGTCTCTAAATTGTTTGACTATTGGGCCCCTTTAAAAAATAACTCTGAAAACTTTATCCACATCTGAAATTTCAGTCTTGGAGAAAACAATTCATAGAAGTGTGGAATTAAATATTAGTTCTTTACTGCAACTACATGTCCATCAGATGAGGAAACTAATGGAGACAACTAGTGTCCCCAAAGTCGCTCAGTTCATAGAAAAACAAAGTGTAAAATTAGATCTTGTAACTCCTGACTAGAGTAGCACACTCTCTACCACTGCATACAGCACTGTGCAGCTCCACATGAACAAAAACCTATAGAAGTAAATATATTTGTTTATTTAAATGCTATCTGATTTAAATGTCAGATGCTAAAGTTAATAATAGAACAAAAGCTTTTAATTAAATTCCCCTCCAGTTATGCTTGCTAGCAGTTTTTAAATGGACTGTGGATTTATTTACTTGGTTGCAACATTTACTTCTGGAAAAATTCTACACTGCACAGCCTTGTAGAATATTTTTACTCATTTATTTTAAATAGATAATACTGTACTTTTTATCAAGTATAAGATTGCAAAAATCAAAATATATATATTGTAGGCTTGCATTGAGTGAACTGTATCCTTTTTTTGGTACGGGGGATTGAAGTCAGGACCTTGCGCTTGCGAGGCAGACACTGGAACCACTGAACTAAATCCCCAGCTCCAAGTGAACTGTATTTTTATTGACCACTTGCTATATGAGTATATACTGAAATAAGCCAGTTGGAGACTAAAATGAAGGACTAATGTGTATTTTTTAATAATATGTGCAGAGTGTAATTAAGAAGTAGATCTTTCACAGCATGCTTTGGCCACCAAGATGTTGATTAGTTTATTATTAGCCAGCAAACAAAGCCAGCTGGCAACACCATTTGCCTCAATCTGTCAACAAGCTCATTAATAACAATGTCCACAGGCTCTCATGAATGATTTGTACCTAGCTACAGAAAGGGAGGATATAGTTTACAAGTGCACCACAATCTTCCACTAGCAGTTGATTTTCCACTTCTATTTGCGAACCCATGGTCAGTCCTTACCCAGTAGCCTTTGAGGCCAAGGCAGAGCTTCGGGAGAGTCTGGCATTCACTTCAATGATGCAATATTCCATCGAGGTAGGATGAAGGGCAAACTGAATGTTGCATTCTCCCACAATGCCCAAGTGGCGAACAACATTGATTGAAGTGCGTCTCAGCATCTGAAACTCTGCATTGGAGAGTGTCTGGGCTGGGGCCACAACAACTGAATCACCTGTAGATCCAAGTACCACTCGTTATTTGATGGCATCTTTTAATAACTAACTTCAGTGACTTAACAACCCACTTAAATGATACAGACATAGTCTGAGAGCTTACTGGAAAAATAATTATCTTGAGGTTGTATATTATACATATATAGAATATATAGATTGTGTATGAGAGATACCATGTCGTGTACCTGATTCTTCTTTTACATGTGTTATTCTGACACATTTCTTTTGGAAACCCCTCAGACATTGTCCATGCTCCTCTAGCTATTAAAGCTTCCCTCATCTGCTTACTTAGGTGGCAGTACCTACTTCATCTTCCTTTCTCTTCATTCATCTCAAATTATCTCTCTAGTTGTTCTTTCAATGGAATATTATCTCCTTTTTACCCAGACTGGATCATCAGTCTTTCTCTGTCTGATCCCTTCCCATCACTCCTTTCTACTTTCAGCCCCTCATGTCTTCAATCTCGTGGTCCTTAGTCTCTATCCATTCTTCTACAAATCTCATCGCTCTTCTGATTCAAGAAGCTCATCTCTCAACACTGCCAGACATACAAACCTTTTTCCTCTCATTTTCTCCATGACTAAATTTCTTGAAAGTTTGACAAATTTTCTTAGCCCTCGCTACCATGCAATCTCTTTGCATATGGCACCCAGAACTAATTCTGTATTGAAATTGTTCTTGTATATCTAAAGATGCAAAGTAAATCTTTGTTATTGACTTTCCATAGCACTTGATACTGCCAAAAACACAGTTCTTTTTAAAAATATATCCTTGCATTGGCTTAATTGATACTAGTGTACCCTAGTACACTTCTTATTTCTAGTACACTTTCTTATTTCTTTCTTCTTTGTCTTTAACATTGCCTTTTCCTCCTGCCCTGTAAATGTAAATGTTTCCCATAGTTCCAAGTTTGACCCTATTCTTTCCTTTATCTATACCTATACCCTTGAATACTTTGTCTATGTGTCAAACTTCAGTTATTTTCTTCATGCCAAAGGACTTTAGTGACCTTGTATCAACCTTTTATTTCTATCCTCTTTTCTTGAATTCCATTTCCACATTCTCAACTCCTTTCTTGAGAGTTCCACCCACATTTCAAATTTAGCATCTCTGAAATGCAAGTCATGATCTTTGCCCTCTTACCTAAGTGGTTTACCTTGCTGAGAAGTGTATTTTTTATTACCTGAGACTATTTTCTCAATCACTTAGTAACTAACACCTCAGTCTGTTTTAAGCCTCTTCAACCTCTCTCCTTACTTTTAAACATTAAGTCTTATAGATTTTTGCCTTCAGTTCCTTACTTACACTTGACTTGTTCCTCAATGATAACAAAATGATATCATCTATATTACTTCCTAGGGATTTGGGGAAAATCAAATTAATGTGAAACTATTTCCAATACTACAAAATACCATATATGTGTGAAATGTTATCATTAGTCCGTTAGTTAGGAATAGTGAAAAAAAAAACTTCATAAAGATTGCTGTGATCATCAGAGACACAAGCTGAATGTATTACTGTAATTTTTGAAGGTTCTTTGCCTACCTGTGTGTACACCCATAGCGTCGACATTTTCCATGTTACAGACAGTGACACAATTGTCATCAGCATCCCGCACTACTTCATACTCTATTTCTTTCCAACCTGTTACTGATCGCTCCACCAAAATCTGATTGGTCATAGCAAAAGCCTGGAAATTGATGACAAAAGATATCAAAGAGTAAGAAAAGGCACTGGTTTAATCAAGGACATATAGCAAAACACCTTGGCCTAAATCTTGACCACCACTAAAGTCTCAAACTCAGTCTTCATACTCCCCTGCACTCCAGAAGGCACGATGTGTCAGAAAATCAGTGAGATCAGGAATAGCATCCTGCAGTGAATATGCTTGATTTACATTATTGAGGCTTGGCATTCAAAGTGCTGATATGACATTAAATCAAACTAAATTAGGAAAAAGAGAAAATAATTGAGCAATCAGGCAGAGGGAAATGAAATTATTTCAGCAGCTAGGCTTCTGTGAAACCAGAAAATGTGATAAGTCCAAATAAATGTGGAAAAATAAGTCTGAAGACTCTGGCTTCCTCTAAAATAGCTGAGGGTGCTTTTGTATGGTGACACACACAATAAAAGTTAGTTGACGTTCATGAGGAAGAGAAAGGAGATGATGATGGTTGTAAACAGTTAGCCAAAATGGCATATGAAACTTGGGAATTAGAAGAATCATATGCAGTTATTATTATGGTTAATCACTGCCTAAGTGCTTAAATACTTTGGGTCATATATCATGCATGTCTAATTAGACAGATATGAATTAGTATAATTATCATTTCATATTTACTGAGTACCCTCAGTTGGTAGAATACTGAACCTAAAATACAAAAGAAGCAATCTCTGACCTTAGGACATATAGTGAGTGATAATTTAAGACAGAAATATCCATTTGTCTCATATTTGATTTGGGGAAACAGTGAAAAGGAAGGTACTTTGAATTTTTCCAAATTATTGGTAGGCTATATAATGAAATAATAATGCAATTTTTAACATTTTCCATTGTACATCCCAACACTATCACTACAGGCTCCAGAACATGAAACTGCAAATGTGACACATTTGTCCCCACAGCTGCCCATGAGAATGTTCTAAAAATGGTGAGGACACTGCATAGCCACTGCTAACAATTTCATAATGATGAATCTATCATTCAGGTTGTCTGCAAGTAGAAAAAATCTAGGAAACATGGGGTATAGATTCAGAAAAGCTTTTTTTCATTCTAACAAAGTAGATGGGTATTTGGATACAAAGAAAATTTAGATATTTTTCATCTGTTTTTCTCAGCTTGTTTTGTTTCTTTATTTCACATCTTAAATTTTTTACAGAAAGTTAATTTTAGGACCTGGAGGAATTAATGAACCTTCTACCGGTACTAATTATAATCACAAAAAGAATAAGGAGTAGCTTAGTATGTAATGATATGACTAATTAATCTCAAGGGAAAAGCTAGGTTTTTCAACAAGGAAGACCATATAAGAGGCTATTGATTACTTTAACAGAATATGAACAATTGGAAAACTACCCCACTCCAAAATTGTCGTCATTGTGAACATTTTACATAAAAATTAGAGAATTCAAAATTGTTTTCTGTATAGTGAAAAATTATTCCTAATGGACAATGAGTTGGTATTGTCACTATTGACAGTAACAATGAGATCACCAATATTAAGAAAATGTAGAACATTTAATATGCTAGAGAAAATAAATATACTTCATGTCTCCAAAACATGTTCTTGCTTTGAACACATGATTTAGAATTCCAGAATGGAATCCAGAAATATTTATATTAGATGTATTTCCCCTTTTATGGTAAATTTAGCAACTTTAGGAAACCTAAACCTAGGTTGTTGACACATAAGTCTATCATAGCTATGTAGATATGTTTAATTGTATTTATCTGTTCTCAAAACACAATGCCAACAATTCAAGGGTCTCCTTTCATGTCATAAGCTGTACTTGAGCTATATAGTAAGCACTCCTCAAAGCAGCTTTCACAATAATTCTGTCAGATTCAATCTTTATGCTACATATAAGCTACACAGTCGTTTGGGCTGCACACATACTCATTCATTCAAAGTAATTACTGAGTCCCTAGTATTGCCAGACACCATTCTGTGGAAAAAGAAAGTGGGCAAAAGTCTCCAGAGCAATATTTTTTGTGTTAGTCTCTACTTTCAGGGCTTATCTTAATTGTCTCATCTTAATTTCTTTAACACTGAAGAAGTATTGAGTAACACATTAAAGTTATTTTATTTTTATGTTTGCACAGTAGTCAACAAGTTCAGTCATTTACTAAACTGAGGAATTTATACTTTGTGTAGTTTATACACCTGAATTTTGGATAGTAGAACTAGCATGGTCCTTTTTTCACTTACTGGATGTTATCAATTGTCACAGTATTTCCCAAAAAAATGGAAAAATTGAACCATTGCATCCTGCTTTTTTTTTTTAACCACTAAAATGTATTTTAGTATTATGAATATTTTAGTGGATGGTGAAGTAGGAGATAGAATTATATTAAGTTTGTATGACTGAACCCAATAGACTGTAAAATAAAGACAGATCTTAAAGTCCAGTGACCATTGGTTCAACTGGCACCATGTTCATGATCACTGTATCCTGGCAGGAGTAACCACACTACATTTGCTTCTCCAATGTGGTCTTTCTGAAAATACTTTTAAAGAACAAGATAGCAATTTGGTATATAGAGAAGGGGTCATTTTTCATCAACTTAACTTTCTCTAATTAAATGGATATATCAAGCCAGTCTTTTGGTTGGCAGGAATATTGCCTATAAAAATACTTACCTTTGGGCCAGGGATTTAGCTCAGTGGTTCTGGCACCTGCCTTGCAAGTACAAGGTCCCAAGTTTGATCCCCTGGTACAAAAAAAAAAAAACTACCTTTGTGCTGAGATCCAGTAAGGTTTCCCTGTTGGGACAGATGCCAGAACCTAATCCACCCAATGCATATGCAGAACGGATCATCACAGGGTAGCCAATGGTGTCTGCTGCCTTTAGGGCATCCTCAATCTGTAAGGAAGAATGCAATATCAAATTTGAATAACAGACCATAGTAAAAAAAAGGGGGTTGGGGAAAGAATCTGGAAATTTAGGTAAATCAACTATTTGGAAGAGATATGAAAATATTCTATTATTCTTTCATCTTCTAAAAAAAGTGTTATTATACACATATTAAGTAAAATTCTAAAATTCTAGGAGAAGTTTTGTGTGTGTGTGTATGTGTGTGTGTGTTCAATTTTTCTGGTAAATTTTGCATTTATCTCAAAAAATGAAACCACAGAGGTAGAAATAATCACTCATTCACTTGATTATGAAACATATCAAATTATTAAATTTTTAATTTCAGGGTAAAGGTCTATATTTAAATGAAATACAGTTTTCTACTGGTGAAGCTAACTTAGCATTACCACAATAAGGCATTAGGAATACCATATAGAAAGAGGATTTTCATTTTCCAGGTTCAATCTGAGATAGTCTTAGAAACTTGGAATTTTTTTTTTTAACTTAGAGAATACAACATATAGGGCTATATTTTTCTGTCATGGAATATTATTACACTACCAATGGGAATGTAATTACACCTTTCCCATATGCTTGTTAATCATCCAGGGGAAGCCAGGACATAATTATATCTGGCAGCAGAAGAATACATGTATGGTAAGAGCTTTCCAAAATGTTCAGCAGACCTACTCTGGGATTACTCCTGATTGGCAGCTACATAACATAAAAGGCACTTGGTAGCATTCTTTCTGTGAAACATAAATTACCCAACTGTAGTCATCCCAACAGTACTTGCCGTATTCCTAAGGATTTGCCTATTTCTACATTTGGGAAGTTGCATTAAAACTGCAGTTAGCACCTCCACCTCACTAAGTATATTCTTGAAATTGAAATTAAAGTTGGAGAGAAACAAGTATACAGCTAGTTGTGTTTTTCCTGGTGACACTAATAGCCTATCAATAGGCAGAGCACACAGTGAGAAATGGGTAAGAGAAAAGTGAATTATTTACCCTTTTATAAATGGCTAAGTCACAAATTTCCCATGAGTCTAAAACATTTATTCCATTCAAAAAATGTTTTAAATCCAATCTCATTTGCAGAGCATTCAAATATAAAGATATGTAATTGACCCCAGGAAAACAGAAAAAATTAACTTGATATTGCAAATTAGTATGGTTCTTAGGTTCAATTCAGCAGATCTGAGGTTCATTGGCACTTGAACCACTGATAAACCAGTTAATCTCTGGTCTTAGGTTTCTCTTTTCATAAAATAAAATATTAATACTTAATCCTAACATTTAAGCACTGAACGCTACCATTAGCAGACAGTATCCCAGATGGATTAACATACTTCTGGAACAAAATGTATACAAGTCAAATAGTTTCAACTATTATTATTAAGTACAACAAAGCATTCTCCCTATAAAGCAAGACAAATAATGCCCTTGTTTCCCTGGAACAGGATTCCTTACTGATTCCACTGCAAAGCTTGGAGCAATCTTTTCATTAATCTCATTTAGTTTATCCGAGAACAGCTGCCTGTCTTCTGTAGCCATAATGGATTCAACTGAAGTTCCAAGGACTTTCACACCATATTCCTTGAGCACACCTCTCTTGAACAGTTCCACTCCTACAGAAGAACCAATATAATTAGTTCTTATAAAATAAAACTCTATCTCTTCTTTAACAGATACCTGAACATAATGTTTTTAATCTTAAAATTAAATCCAAGAAACCACCACAGTCCATAATAGAACTACACTTGGAGGAAAAAAACGACATAAAAGTTCTGAAACTGATCTCACAAAACATATTTCATGTGCTCCTAGTACTTACATTACCACCATCTACACATCAATTTCATTATCCTTACTAATATAAATCAGAGCTGTACACTGCACCTTAAGATTTCAGCATATTGAGGGCAGAGAAGGTGAGCGGGTCCCAGCACCCAGAAGGAAGCTCCCTGCCTCCATCCCAGGGTCCTAGGGCAGAGAAGGTCAGCCAATCCTACCACCCGGAACAAAGCTCCCCTCTGCCATCCCAAACTCCTAGAGGAGAGAAGCTGGGCCAGTCCCTGCAACCGGAAGGAAGCTCCCCACCTCCATCCCAGGCTCCTAGGGCAGAGAAGGTGAGCCAGTCCCAGTGCTCGGAAGGAAGCTCCCCACCTCCATCCCAGGTTCCTAGGGCAGAGAAGCTCAGCCAGTCCCAGCACCCAGAATGGAAGATCCCCGCCTCCATCCTAGGCTCCTAGGGCAGAGAAGGTGAGCCGGTCCTAGCACCCGGAAGGAAGCTCCCCGCCTCCATCCCAGGCTTCTAGGGCAGAGAAGCTCAGTTGGTCCCAGCACCCAGAAAGAAGCTCCCCTGCTGCCATCCCAAGATCCTAGAGCACAGAAGGTGAGCTGTGTGGGTGCCAGAAGCACACACACACCCGTGGAATTGAGAAGACACGTAAACAAGCCTCAAAAACAGACTTTTGGATCACCTACAGCAACCCCAAAGGGAAATGAGATGGAACAATCTGATACTCAACCACCTGGACTCTCTGATCTGGCAACAAAAGAGGAAAAATGAAATCAGAAATAATTACTCAGATAACAGCAAAGATTTTGCTCATGGTGCAAGACATGATTAATAAATCTAGAGAGGACATGATAAAAAAATAGAGGATCTGAGGAACATGATGGAATCCCAACATAGGAAACAAATGGAATCCATAAAACAGATGCAAACAGATTTCC